ATTTTTGTCCAGTCGTGCCTTGTGTGCAAAAAGTGGTAGTTGTTAGGATAATGGGCGTAATAATTGCAGCTACCGTCAACCCAATAATTTTATCGAAAACCGCTACAAATGCCACTAAGACTACCGACTCTTCGTCTATCATTCGATCAGTTGTTATTGACACCAGGAGATAAAACGGATTCTGTTAGAGAACCAGGCTCTACAGTTTGTTATGAATAAACTTTCTAATGGAGTATTAGAATATAGCACAATCCTCAAAAAACGAACTTGTTAGTGGCGCTACAACGCCCTGCCTGTGCCACGGGGGCAGAGTCTGCCCATTAATGGTATACAATGCTAACTTTGCTTTGGTCAAACGTTTGGCTGTACGTCACAGCTCGGCGGAAAGAAAACATAGATTTTTGCTTTATTTTAAAAAAGTAAATAAGCGTCGGAAAACCTATTTATTCTCTTGAGCATTCTGTCGTCATTATTACGTAGTTAACTTACAGATCAATTTATGTCCATACTGCTTCCAATCGATAGCTTGACAATCTCTTGAACAGTAACGCGCTTTTCCACATATGCTACACATGTGAGGAGCATTTCCTTCGCCACAACACCGACACATTTTAATCACTTTTTCCGATTCATCTTGCATAATAACTGATGTAAAATCATCAACACGTATACTCGGTTTCATGTCACGGCTACCAATGCGTAGATACGGATTTAATATATTCATCTGATGACCAATTGTAAAAACTTCTTCAATTAGTCGTTGTCCATCATCTGGAGAAAAACCGTAGATAAACAGACGTTCGATATCCAGATTTTCATCTTCAATTAGAAGTAAAACTGATGGTTCAAACGACAGAGTTTGTTCGATGATTGTAACGGAGAGAACGTAACCGTCGTAGACCTTATCCTTTGTAGAATCCATGTCTCTTAAGGTTATAGGTTTCAAGCCAATTAGTTTTCTAGGCTTTTTTTGTGTCTTAGGTGGTGGATTTGTCCGAGTTAGGCTTACTAGTAATTGATCGTCTTTTAGTTTTTGTGTAGTCCAGAGAAACTGACGTTGTTCCTTAAATAATTTGATACGACGAGGATCTATTAGACGAGCGCAGTTTTGACGAATTGGTTGACGTGGTGTTTGATCTGACTGCAATGTATCTCTTTTGCACAAATCGACGAAATCGAACACAGCTTTTATAGCTGTTTTGCTAGTTGATTTATATGGTAAATAACACGGTAGTTGTAAGCGTTCAGCTTCT